TGGCTTCTTCACGAATCAAAGCTGTGGCGTTCGCTTTCGTGTCCTTGGCGGCTTCTTCAACAGCTTGATGCTCTTCCTTGAGAACCTTGTTGTCGTCGATCAGAGCAACCAACTCGTCCAACAACACCGTCTTTTCCGTCTCCTTCTACGCTCTGCCCAACATGAACTTCGACTTGGCTTGCTACTGACGATGACTCTCGACAAGTAACTGGAACCTCTGGGTGGACTTCTTCCCATTCAGCGCTTTGCGGCTGAACCCATCGATACGCATGCAGCTCTCTGCAGTTCTGTTCCATGCTATCATCTTGTGCTTCGATGCTAGAAAGGGACGGTCATTGTTTGTCTGGATGAGTAGGAGGACGTCATCATCCTCTGGCCACCAAGTCTTTGCGCAAGCCTCAGCTGTGACGATCCGTTTTTGTTCATCGATGACAACGTTGTCGAAGTTCTGCACGTCCTCGACGTCGTTGCTGTTATGGTCGGCCACATCTTGGCTGGCGAGATTGAGTTGTGACTGACGCGATGAACGGCCTCTGGAAAGTCTGTTGGAGTGATGGCGAGTGTTTCCCATGTGTGTGGTTGCCGCTGAAGCGTCGTTAACCATGACGGTGACCTTTGCGGACCGTTTATCAAATCCCCAAGCTTTGGTGGTTTCGCGGAATCCTTTACTAGTTTCCGGAGGATTCCCCAACTTTATTCATCTCGGCAGGTATCTTACGATGGGGATAAATACTTCACCCCGAAATCTCGCTAATGTCTGAAAATTTTATGACTGGTCCACCAATCGCCATTCGAGATTCTGAAGCCAAGGCACACCATTTGACGAAAGTCTCGAATGTACAACTTGGGTTGTATATTGCTGATAACACAAGGGTATCGCTACTGACAGCAAATATACTACTACTAGCAGTACAAGCGTAGCCACGATGAGCGATCCAAGGTCCATGACAGTCACCGAGGTGTGCAACGATCGCGGGACCGAACTGCCCTGCCGAACACCACGCGCCAACCCTGCCCGAGGGGAGTTTCTGGACCAGCCACCCCACTACCTCCTCATTGGCATCGGGACTTGAGCTCCTTTTCTTCAACGCGGAACTCGCGAGTGAAACACGATCGAACATCGAGTTTGGTGGTTGATCCAGCCATGCTATCACGCCATTCTCCACAGTTCTTCCATTGCCATGATGTTATAGTGGCGTCTATCGTGGGAATCGAAGGCATCCGGGCAATGCCTGCCAGCCTGGTCTGCCCAGATCTTCTCCGGACAGTGGCTTCATCTGCAGGCCCTTTACCTGTTTTTCAATTCCATCGAGCCAACAGACGATGCAAGGGCCCCATCAACGAATTCTCCATCGCACATCGAAAGTTATCGAAGTGCCATGCCTTCTCGAGGCGCCAACGACGACCAGTTCAGACCGAAGGTGCGAGTGGTGAGGCGTGAAGCTGATGTGCACTCGATGGAGCCTTCGTCGTATAGCTCCTCGTCCACCGCGGATAACCATCACTCGTACAATCCCCCTGGAACTACGGCAGCCGTCAAGGAGGGCAGGAATAAGATGTTGCGCCACTGCAATGGCCGCTCAACCGGGCAGAGAATACATTGTCTTTGCACATCCACAGCTCATGGAACGACTTGCATGCCACGTAATCCAACGTCCGAAATGAATGGAAGAGATTACGTGGCAGTTTACGTGTAAAACTGTCGGGCTGGCCCTGAAGGCGGCAATGTCGGGAAGTGCGTGTGCTGCGCAAACGGCAGCGTGTTGGCAACGGCCCTGACCGCGTCGTCGAGATCTTGCTGGGTGCGAATTATGACCGCTTGTTCGTGAGCCTAATCATGAGAAGCAGCATTAGCTGCCTCGTACATGGCGTCGAAGGTAAGTATCACCTCCTTCTCGGCCAGTTGCTGGCGGCTCAAATGATCGAGCGGAGTCGGGTGGTAAAACACAAGGAATCTCATGTCGTGGCACGAACCCAAGATGCGGTCCAAATAGTGCTGGATGCGCGCGAGATGGAAGGACGAAGCGACGACGCGGACGACGGACAGACGGAGGTGGCGCAGCACGCGGACGAGGGACACGGCGTTCGCGATGGTGTTGCTCTACAGGTTGCTTAACATCCATTTGGAAACGAGGCGCGAGGTCACCGAGTTGCAGTCCATGACGATATGATGGGGCGAAATGCCGCGCTGGATGAGCTGGTTTCGTGCGACTTCGGCTTCAATCAAGCTCTGCTCGCTGTCGTCCCCACCAAATGGAATCACGTAGCACGTTGCTTTTTCCTGTTCTGTGATGGCATGGTACAAGGGGAGGGCAGTTTCAATGCGCTGACTAAGCCACACCCCTGGGTGGTTCGCCGACACTGGGCCATCGAGCAACACGATTGCATGCGAGTGTTGAGTCCGTCCTCGTAGCGCCACTTGTTGGCCTTCAGGAATCGATACCAAGTTGGGCGCAATCGAAGGGTGCCGCGCCTCCGTTGGAAGGGGCTTTGTGTTGTCCACAACCAACCCGGTACGAAATAGATCCAACCCGACCGACGCAAGTAGCTTCAATTGGGCGGCATCGCGGACACTCTTCTGAGACACAGGTGTCACGCCGCTGTCTTGCCGGTTGATACCCTTCTTCTCGTAGTAGCGCGAATGTTCATTCAGCACACTCGCCGACCCCGCGGTCCCGAACGGCTTGTGCTTTCGCGACATGCGTACCTCGACGAAAGATTTTTTGCAACTTCTCGTGAAAATCTGTGCAGGATGAAAATAGTGTTTGGCATACTATTTCGACGTGGCTCCGACTGCACACAGAATGACGGACCAATCTTCTGGAATAACTATATTAACATTATGGACGTTAAAAATCCTCCTCATGAAATTAAGAATATTTTTGGCCAATCGATGTCCAAGCACATGCTAACGTCATGTTACCTCTTGATCTTAATGCCGCCAAACAAGAGCTAAACATATTGTTACAGATAGTGTGCTTTTGTAGTAATGTTTTATGGTGTTCTCCTTAAATGATCAACCTAAGTGCACAAAATATCAAAGTAAGATTGCCTGTTGGCTGAGCGGTTTTGGGGTCGCTGTCATTTGCTGTGACCCCTCTTTAACTGTTTTCAAATCAATCAAATTTCAGGAACGACTTGAACGTCGCACCAGGGGGAAATTGTTTCATCTTGTCGCACCAAGCAGAGAACCTCGATGAATATTTATCAAGTTAAATATGCATTCTACCCACCTCATTTCTGCCTGGGGCGTTTATTCGTTCTCGTGCGTTATTTTGAACAACAATATACTTCAACGCCGCGCAATTTGGATTAGAAAAACCGTAGACTGTTCTTACAAAATGCACTAACACCCTTCGCGAATTCATGAAACATTGGTTTGCCAGCGGACAAAAAATCTGCCATGTAGTTTTTGTCCAAATTGTATGACTCGCTCAGTAAAAATCTAATAAAAAGAGAAGTACTGTGATTCATACATCAATAAAAATCAAAATACTTCCTCCATTCCACAAATCTGGAGATATTCGTTTTTGCCAAACATAAACACTTCGAAGTACTATCTTCTGTATGCTCTCTGAGTCGAAAAAGTGTAATTATATTCATAAAGTTGATTTTACGACAAGAACCAACATGATATGCTACAAATCATATCGTCACATCATGGGCAATGGTGCAGAGGTGATCAATTTTTGACGTATTGATCACATCCTTAATGTCACATGATGCCAACACATTGGAAAAGTTATCTACTCTATGTTCGAAGTCCTTCCGAGCATTCATTGCTTCGATGGCAGTGACTACGTCAGGATCACACACTAAAGGGGCGGTTGGTCACACCCTTGCCATTTTGTCCTTGCTCTGATGTGGCAACTTGTATGAGTTGTCACCGCCCATTTTCAATGACTCCTCCATGACGCGCTGTAACGTCATGATCGTCTTCTCCAGAATCGACCAGTCCAGTTCGTTGTACGCGCCATGTACGGCGGCAACAAGATCATCGACCACAAATGGCCACATGCCGACCTTCCCATCCCACATTGTCTTTTGTGCGTACTCAAAGCGTGGACGCTCCGCCGGGGTCAATAGCATCACCTTGACGATGTGACGCTAGGAGGAACACTTGCGTATAGGTAAGGCCTCGCCATGCCAGAGGTAGTATCGGCGGTTGACCAACGTAAGATAGGACCACTTTTCGTCGATGTGAATACGATCCAGCATATCGTCCCACTGTATTGGGGCTCGTGGCGACTTGCGGACGAAAGAACGGATGAACGCGACAAGAGCCGTGCTTTTCAGTGACATGGGTTTCAGTCGGCTTGTCCGACGCCGCAACTTCTTTCACTCAAGCACGCGCCAAAGCGTTGTCGAGGATATCCAACTGGAATCAGCCAACAACGCTATAGTCCTGCGAAGATGCGATGGGACACGCTTTACGAGGATTCAATGCCCTCGATAATACGTGACGGCCGACGCCCAGCTCGACCTCGTCTTTTCAATGTCACATCAGCAAGCTCTAACTGGGCTTTCGTCAGCTGATCGCGCCTCCACACCTTGGACAACTTTTGCCTCGATATGCCAAACAGGAGAAGGATCGGCTTGGCCTTTCCTCTCGCCAGACGACAGTTCTGCTTGTTCTCCAGCAGTTCATGGTACAGACTGAGTCGTTCGTCGTCGGATAGGTCGTGTTTGGTGGTGCGCGGCATGGCGGCTAGTCCGTAACTCCGCTTCCAGATATAAATATTTTAGTGACTCCCATCGAGCTCGATGCTCCGGATGCTGTCCTTGGCCACTCTCTTGTGACTACCACCGATGCCGACACTGGCATGCCCGGTTGGGTCACATCAGCCTCAAGAACACGGTGAAGACCAAGCAATACACGACTGGCATTGAGCTTCCCAGTTGTAAGCACCAGTTTTGCTCGAGTTGTCTCGCCGGAAAGCAATCGCGTCTACCGTTTCCACATTCATTGTCGTCTACCGATGAACCATTTACTCTCGTTCACTCGGATCTTTGTGGACCGATGCGCCATCCTGCACTCAGTGGTCGTACGCGCTATTTCATCACGTTCACTGATGATTTTTCGCGCTATGGCTACGTCTTCTTCCTTCAGCACAAGTCTGATGCACTCCAGTGTTTCAAAGACTTCGTTGCATATTGCCACACGCAATTCAACCGACCAGTGCGTTGTCTACGTTCTGACAATGGAGGGGAATATGTCTCTGC